ACATTACATAATGATAAAGGGCTCAGTCCAACAAGAGGATATAACCATTATAAATATATATGCCCCCAACACAGGAGCACCAGCATATGTGAAACAAATACTAACAGAACTAAAGGAGGAAAGAGAATGCAATGCATTCATTTTAGGAGACTTCCAACACACCACTCACTCCAAAGGATAGATCCACTGGACAGAAAATAGGTAAGGACACAGAGCCACTGAACAACACACTAGAACAGATGGACCTAATAGACATCTACAGAAATCTACATCCAAAAGCCACTATTTACAATAGCCAAGAAATGGAAGCAATGTAAGTGTTCATCAGTAGATGAATGGATAAAGAAGATGTGGTACATATACACAATGGAATATTATTCAGCCATAAGAAGAAAACAAATCCTACCATTTGCAACAACATGGATGGAGCTAGAGGGTATAAATAAGCCAGTCGGAGAAAGACAAACACCAAATGATTTCACTCATATGTGGAGTATAGGAACAAAGAAAGACTGAAGGAACAAAACAGCAGCAGAATCACAGAACCTAAGAATGGACTAACAGTTACCAAAGGGAAAGGGACTGAGGAGAATGGGAGGGAAGGGAGGGATAAGGGCGGGGAAGAAGAAAGGGGGTATTATGATTAGCATGTATAATGGGGGGGCATGGGGAGCGCTGTGCAACACAGAGAAGACACGTAGTGATTCTACAGCATCTTACTATGCTGATGGACAGTACTGTAATGGGGTTTGTGGGGGGGACTTGGTGAAGGAGGGACCCTAGTAAACATAATGTTCTTCATGTAATTGTAGATTAATGACAACAAAATAAAAAAATAAAAATAATAAAAATTTAAAAAGGGGGGTCCTCTGAGTTAGTGTAAAAAAAAAAGGGTGTGGGAGAAAATGAAATATGTTCAATAAAAAAATTTTAAACTTTTGAATATGTTAGAAAAATAAATTGGATTAAAAAATCATGTAAAATATTTTATATGATTTTTAGAATAAAAGAAATATATAAAAGGACATTATTTACTACACTTCCAATTAAGTAAAGACTGATATTATAATGATATTATTATTGTGTATTCAACTTCAAAGGCAGTGAACACTATAATGGTTGCAAGAAATCGGTGCTATAACATTCTTCTCCAATTGTAAATGATAAATACCTTTTAATTTCATCAATAGATAAAACAGCATCTACTGTAATGAGTACTTAATTCTACTGCTTAAAATACTGTAAGTTACAAAGCTACTATCAAAACACCTGGAAATTTCCAAGTACCAGGAGAAGCTAATTGTTCCTTAAAACTATTTAGACATGGGCAAACTTAAAATTCTAAACTTTTGTTTTTGAACACACTTTCATTTTTGGTCTTTCTTTCCTCTTATGCAGTGACTATGAAATATAAATGACCGTGAATGAGGATAAGACAGTGTCCCAAAAAGCAGCAGGTTCTGATGATGATTAATGTAGAGCTGCCAAAGGATGTCTGGCAGCAAAAAGAAGAAATAGCTTATATAACTGATAAAAAAATTAGTCAGTGGGACCCTAATAACGTATCTCCCTGGAACCTGAGATAGTGTATTTGATGAATTTTAGGCTAGACTATATTCTTCTACCTGCTTAAACCATGGAGGCAAAAATATGGAAGAGCAAAAATTACAGCTAACTTCTTCTATTAAAACTTGTTAATGGGCAGGTTGGTCAGTTAATGGAATATGTTAACAGAATTATCATACATCCTGTCAATTAAAATTATAATGTTTTTCATTAACACTATGTTGAATATCAGTTAACCTCTCCTTCAGGATTCTGAAGGTCTTTCTATATTTCCAGTTACTTGATAAGCCATGGTAACAACTGCATAATTCTATTACTGTAGAAAGTGTGAAACTGGCCTGAATTTCTATTCATCTTGTGACATAGTTTAAAAGCAGTTTTGTTGCCATGTGACCCTTGTATTATACAGGAGAGTATATAAGGCAGAACAAAATTCTCAGTATTTGAACTTTCTAATTATTTTAGAAATAAAGTTATTTTACTGTCTTTCTTTCCAGGGGGAGGTGTTTTCAAATAAAGATGAACTTAAAATCAACGAAATCACTGTTAACTCTCTGAACAGATTTTTCAGAGACATATTCTTCTCAATGAAGTTTAATCAATGTACTGTAATGTGTTTTAACAGTGCTCTGGTCTAAAACTGATGCTAAACTGATACATTCAAAGATTACCTTACGGGAAACAAAGCTTCACCACCCATGGTTTGAACATCAGCTTCTCAACAGAGTGCTTACAAAGGTTCTTTTTAGAAGAAAAACGCCTCTGAACCTTGAACACATCCACATCATTCCTTACAGCCTCCAGCCCCTTGTGATAGGGACTTGGCTATTCTAGATACTAGGCGGGTTTAGTGGTAGAAGGGCCCTAAAATTTGTGGCCATAAAATGCTTTATTACCACAAGGAATCGCAAGAAGATAGGCTATGGAGATACCAAAGAAAGAAGCATAGTGTGCAAAAGATCAAGAATAAACAGATGATAATGTAACAGAGGAAGAAAGCAAACTCAAATAGAGTAAATTAATTACAATAGAACCACTGTGTATCATTATTTTCATTAGAATCAAGTTATCAGAATTAGGACCGTGAATCTACTGTAATTGCATTCCAGAATGTAAACCTAAAAGAAATATCTTTTAAACTTCCTGGACCCCTCTGCTACATTTGACAGTAAGCATTTCTTCCTTCCTATAGAAAATCAGAAATTCTTCAAAAATTCCTCTTCCTCCTCAGCCTTTCAAAAACCTGGTGTTTCTAGGCTCTATCCTGTTCTTTGATATCCATTCTGAGATTATCTGAATCACTCTCATGATTTCAGCTGTGATTTCTCCCCAGCATCAGTCCCTAGAATCCAACGGGCTGCTGGACAGCTTCACTCAGATGTCACCAAAATAGCCCTAAGTCAAAGAATTGAAAACAAAATTCATCATCAACTCCTACTCTTTTTTTCTACATTCATTCTCAATTAATGTATTTTCTATCTCAGCTCAAAATACCACAATCCCTACAGTCACCAAAGCTAGAAATTAGACATGTTACCTTTGACCCTGACTTTGTCAATCAATCGATAAAACTTACCAGTTTTGCCTCCTGCATGTTTCTCAATTCCATTTCTCTTTCTCTGGGCCCCAACACCTCTTATTTAGATTGATACTTCCTAACTGGTCTCTCTGCTGAGCACATTCTCTTCAATTCCACCGTTTACACAGGTATAATAAGAATTTACCTGAAATGAACATCTGACTTCCATTCCCTTGCTTCAAACTGATCAACAGCCTCTCATTAGCTTCAGAATAAAGCCCACATTTCTTGACATGATTACAAGGTCTCTGCAATTTGGTCCCACCTGACCATTTCTACCTCATGCCTCTCCCTGCATGTAATTCTTACAGTAACAGTACAGAGACTATAATTTCATATTGTTCCCTTTATATGCTATGGCCTCTCATGTTTCCACATACTTACTCATGTTGTTTCTTATGCCTAGCAGTCTCTACTTCATCCCTTTCCTCTCCTGCCTCCCCCGTCCTCAATTATTTATGTCTTGGCAAAGCTATCATCTCTTCCAGAAAGATTTCCCTGAAAGCTCTGGCAGAGATGGGTGGTAATTCTCTTCTCTATCCTCTTACTCTGTGTCTTGGTCTCACTTACCATGTTCTTTTTTAATGAACATCAGAAAATTCAATGAAGACATGAAGAAATAATAAAAAATAATAGGTATGTGCCTATATTACCTGCATCTCATTGACCATGAGGCCTTTGAGAACACAAATGATGAATTATTCATAATTGTAATCCCACTTCCAGACCCAGTTAAATGTTCTGTTAAATGAAAGTAACTGATGCTCAATAAATGTTCTGCTAAACAAAAGTAACTGAGAAGAAAGAATATACAAAAATAAATCAAAGAAAAGATAAGAGACTTCCTTGCCACATTCCCTAATAATGGTCCTGGTCCTGCTCATATCTGGGCAGTTACACTGACTTCTTTAATGCTAGAAGCATCTAGTTTAAAAGACCTCCAAATAAGCAAGTTACTCCCTTCTAGCCAATGATAGTAATTCTATCAAGAAACTGTCCTCTTCTTGACATCGGACCTCTTATTTTATCACCAAAGGTATATTTTTAAAAAGATATGCCATGTGTAATCTCCGTCAGATTAATGGAAAATAGGAAGAAAGAATAAAACCAAGTAGAATAAAATAAACTTGGCAGCACCATGCCATTTTTATTACATGGAAAATTACTTACATGCAGCAGCAATACAGCAGCAAGAAAAGACTGTCCTTGACAGTACCCAATGTCCTCATCGTAGACAGAGTAGGCCTGGAGAAAAGAGGAAGACAACGAAATATCATAAACATTCACAGATTTTAACGGAAGTGCTAGCTCACATTAGGCTGCTGCTTGTTCCTGTCTCTGGGCTGTCCACCAGTTTCACCTCCTTCAACTTGGATGTGTGAGTCATTAGCACAGTGGGACCCCCCCAAAGAGGCTGCACATTTCCTAAAGCAATTCTAGATGCCTCATTATCCCAGATTCATCGTTAGAATTTGGAATAAAGTACTTCTCAGAGCACATAAATTAATTTTAAAAGGTCCATTATGGTTTGTGGTCAGGTGAATAGACCATGCGACAGGAGCAAAGGGCAGAAGAAGGTGGGAAGGTTCTAGAGTTGGCTTGGGAGTTCTAATGCACTATAGAGATATGTTAAAGCTGCTGAAAGTGTCAAGCAGTTCCCCTGATCAAAAAAGTCACTATCTATAACCTCCAGACTTTATCAAGACCTTCTGCACTACTCTCCCACCTTCTAGAAAGCTGCAGAGTAAAAATGTCTCCTCCCATCTATATCACTGGGGCAAATCAGAAACACTGAGCATTGCTCCAAACTTTCACAGCATGGCTGAGAGTGAGCTTCATGCCACATATGCACCCACTATGACAGGTGTTCTAGCTAATCACCATCTTTAACATCATTCTAACTAGCCAGTACACAGTCAAAGAGGCTCATTTGCAGGATATATATATTGCTCCCTGGCAAGCAGCTATTATGCCATTTAACTTAATATTCACCTTAGTTTTCAGAGGAAAGGAAATAAAATTGTACACTTAGTAGTATGTATTAACTAGTACTTCAAACTTCTGAGATTATCATTTTTTTAAAAGATAATCTGTACAAGTTTTTAAGAACTTGAATAAGTTACAGCAGGTAGAGTGTGCTAATCAAAGAGTAAATAATAGGAATTAGTAGCTTTTTCTGTAAAAGTTCAAATAGTAAATATTTGAGGCCTTGAGGGACACTTACACATCTGCTGTACATTATTTGGTTTTTAAACAACCCCTTAACACACAAAAAAAACTTTCATATTTCAAGGATGGTACAAAAGCAGGCAACATGGGTCATAGTTTACTGAACCCTGATTTAGAACAAAAAATAATAATTCAGGGACTTCCACATTTAGTTTTAAAAGACAAACATCCCAATCATGGCGTTTGAATCCTGGAAATATATCCCATCTCATGTATCCTTCCCATGTGGTGATTCATTTTAGTGGGGGAATTTCCATTTAATGTGCTTTAACACAATGAATTATGATTTTGAATAGTCTCTGTCCAGGGCAATGATCATCAAAGATAACTAGGGAGGAGTTTTTAGAGGGAGGTTAAGTATGGTATTTCCCATATGCCAAAGTAGTCAGAGTACAGGGTCCAGAACCCTTTTTTTTTTACTTAAAAAAAACAAACTGTATTGAAATACAGCTTGTAGTCAGTGAAATGCATATATTTAACTACATAATTCCTTGAGTTGGGTCATTTCTATAACTCCATCATTATAGATTATGTCCATCATTTCAGAATTTCCCTCATGCCTCACTGCAGTCAAACCACCTCCACCCCAGGCAACCACTGATCTGATTTTTATCACAATGTATTATTAACTTTGCATTTTTTAAAGAATTTCATATCAATTGACTCATTTAATAATATATACTCTTCTGTGGCCTCTTTTACTCAGCATAATGTTTCTGAGATTCTTCCATGTTGCATGCATGAGTTCATTCTTTTTCACTGCTGGTTAGAATTCCACTGTTTGATCAAACCACAGTTGTTTATCCAATCCACTCACCCACTAATGAATATTAGAGTTTTTCCCAGTTTTTGGCTTATATGAATATAGCTGTTATAGCTGCTATGTATATACAAGGGTTTTTGTAGATACTGGTTTTCATTTTCCTTGGGTAAATACCTAGGAGTGGAGGTTCAAGGTTCAAATGATAAGTATATGTTTAAATTTATAAGAAATTGCCAAACTATTTTCCAAAGTGGTTGCATAATTATTACAGCCACACAAGCAAAGTGTAAGAATATGCACTGCTTCACATCCTTGTGAGTCCTTGATTTGCCAGTCTCTTCCCTTTCATTCCTTTGGTTTTGACTCGCATTTCCCTGACGACTATGCTATAGGACACAGTAATGTGCTTTTCAGCAACTGATACGTAGTTTTTGTGACTCTTCAAGTTCTTGCCCACTTGTTTAATAGGCTGCTCATCACATCCTTGTTGATTCATGGGAGTTCTTTATACATTTGGTTTACAGTCCATTGTCAGACATACATATTGCCAGTATTTTCTGCCAGTCTGTGGCCTGCCTTTTCATTTACTTAATAGTGTCTTCTGCAGTACTACTGTTCTCTTTTAACCTCTTCCTGCTAATGATGATATTATCACAATCTCTTCTGAGAGAAAAATTAGATCACGGAATCATTACCTAATGAATCTGAAAAGAGTTTTTTTCATTATCATCAGTTTCCAGAGCTCTAATTTTAAAAATTGAAAGATAAATTAGCATCCTTTTACTAATTTTATTTTCTTTGATGTATACAGTTATCTTTTGATTGCTTAATTTGCAATTTCATCCAGAGCCCATGGGTGTGTGTGTATGTGTATGTGTGTGTGTGTGAGAGTGTGTATTACGGATTAAAAGGTGGACTGCAGACAGAGAGAATAAAGAAGGAAGAAAAAGGGAAGAAAGAAGAGAAAAGTTCTCATACTCTCCCTTGTGGGAACATTCCTGAGGTTGCCCTGTTACTTCCTTTTCCATGAACAAAGGTTTGTTGCGAGATCATGTTACATGAGTGATAGTTATTTTCAAGGGTCTCCTTTCCCCATGACAGATGTCCAAGGTGAGGATTCCTTAAAATTGTGGCTCTCAAAAAGTCAATCATGCTTCATCAACCCTGACATCACTGACTAATGTTTGATCTGTCTTTATATAAATATAATTAAAATGAATTGAGAATTGTGCTATTTATATGCTCATTTGTGTTACAAAAGAAGTCCATTAGAAAATGAAGGTCCATGATACATCAGACAGAGAAGGTATGAATTCAGTGACCCCCACAGGCCATTTTCTGTAGAGAGAGCCGAGGATCAAAGTGCAAAGTAGTAATAAATTGATCTTACTTTGTACTTGTTTTATGCTTTGGGGTTAGGTTAGCAGCAAAAATGGCTTTTCAGAAGCCACTTATTAAATTGATTATATAATACACAGTGTGAAAAACACAATGTTCTAGCACATTCTTTCCCTTAGAGTTCTTCGAAGTACTGTTTGGCTTAAGTCTAAGCCTTCTCTAACTGAGTTGAACTGAATCCTTCCCTTCTATTCAAAACATGCCTCTCTTTGCACCACATGTTTCCTTACTCTTAAGCTTAATTGCGTCTCTGGCCAGATGCCTTCTCGGTCTGACTTTAAAAAAACATATGGGTACTACTACTGTAATGGAGGAATCACTACTATGGGTCAACCTTTCCTTGGGTAACAAATTTTAGCTATAGCTGGATAACTATATAAAACAAATACCTGAAGCACTTAAGAGCTAAACAAAAGCAAGCAGAAACTAGAATGTTGGTGGGTAAAATGTCCATTCTTTATGCTTTTGTTGGAGGTCAGGTACAAGGGGTACCACACCAGATGGCTAAAACTTGGCTATAAAAGTTTAGTTTCATTGGCTTGAAAAAACAGACTAGTTAGGGTGATAATAATAGCTATAAAGTGAAAGTAGAAATTCTAGAAAAAAAGAAAGTTACAGAAGAGAAGCCCCTACAATGTAAAATTACAATATTTAAGACAGTGTAAAACTGATTTAAGGATAGACAAATAACCAGTAAACAACATAAAAAGTCCAGAATTACAGCCATACTTAGACAATCAGTTGATTTCAACAGTTACAAAGATAATGCAACGAGAAAGGAAAATTGTTTATATACGTATACAAATAAATATATGAAAACTGTTTCAACAAATGCACTTGAATACTGGATATCAATGTGGGGGTAAAAACAAAACTTTAACCCTACCTCACTTCATATACAAAAATTAAATCCTGTTATATAATAGTTCTAAACATAAAACTAACAGTATGAAGCTACTCAATGAATCATAAAATACCTTTGCAAAAGTTTCTAAGCTAGCGCACAGAAGCCCTAACTATAAAAGAGTAAATGATACAGTAGATGTCATCAAATTTAAAAACCTCCACTGAGGAGAAATGGGAATCCTCCTACACTCTTGGTGGGAATGTAAATTACTACAACCACTGTGGAAAGCAGTACGGAGGTTTCTCAAAAAGCTAAAAACAGAAATACCATTTGATCTAGTAATTCCAATTGTAGGAATTAATTGAAGAAAACAAAATTCCTGATTTGAAAAGACATATGCACCCCTATGTTTACCGCTGCACTATTTGCAATAGCCAAGATAGGGAAGTAACCTAAGTGTCCAACAGTAGATGAATGAATAAAAAAGATGTAATACATATACACAATGGAATATTATTTAGTCATAAAAAGAAAAGAAATCCTACCATTTGCAACAACATGGATGGATCTAGAGGGTATTAAGTTCAGTGAAATAAGCCAGGTGGAGAAAAACAAATACCATATGATTTCACTTATATGTAGAGTATAAAAACAAAGCAAAACAGAAGGAACAAAAACAGCAATAGACTTATAGACACTGAGAAGTAACTAGTGGTTACCAAAGGGGAGGGGTTGGGGCAGGTGGGAGGTGATGAAGGGGATATAGGGGCACAATAATTCACAATCACAATATAAGTTGGTCATGGAGATGGTAGGACAGGATGGAGAATACAGTCAATGATTCTGTAACATCTTTCTATGTTGAAGATCATAACTGCACTAGAGGGGGTGAGGATTTGATAATGTGGGTAACTACTACTAAACCACTGTGTTGTACTTCTTTGAAACCAACATATCATTGTATATCAAGGACACTTCAATTAAAAAAAAAACCTCTACTGAGGAAAA